TTTATTTTAAGGCTAAGTAATAAACGTTTTGGAATAAATTCCATTCTTTAGAGAGCATGACAAAATAATATTTGTAAAACGTAGCTTGTTATATATAATAAAAAAATTGTTGCGGAATTATATTATATCAAATTCGTATATTATTGCAAAGGGGAGTTTATACTTTCTTTGGAATTTAAAACGTAAATGTCTTCCAATAACTCTTTTAAAGTTTTAAATTCAAATTTAGTTTTTCAGAGACCATGACAAAATAATATTTTTAAAGCATATATAATTTGAAAATTTGTATGGAAGGTTTATTTAATCAAATTGGCAAATTATTATATACACCATCATAACATTTTTGAAATGGTGGATAATTTAGCAACAGTTATTTGTCTCTTTAATTTTGTCCGTATCTAAAAATGTTATCTTTAATATTTAAAACATCAAAATAATATTATATAATTTTGCAATTTAAAACCACGTTTTAAATTGATGCTAAGTGACAATAATAAAAAGTAAAACTATTAGGGTCTTTCAGATAACATTTCGAATTTATTTTTATTTTATGGGACATTTAGACCCCCGCAAATCAAACTTTTGGCTCAAGAGGCCAGGCTTACGTTAGCTCACTCCAAGCCAGGTCGGAATGGCATTGCCAGATCCACTCAACAGATACCACGCACTCGTAATAGATCCCAGCAATATCCACAATTTGGAGAGTCAGCTTTCTCAGTTACCAAAAAGTCAGACCTCGTTGCTTCGCTGGCCACTCAAAGCTCTCTCAGGTGGTTTTACGTATTTATATTTTTGCTGAGTTTGCGGGTTTTGTTTCTCGAGCTGGCTCTTGATTATTTTCTGTTCCGATTTTCATTACGTGCCCCGAAGTCTTCGTGAGCTGAACTCGGAAATCTGAAGTCTAGAGACTAGACACTAGAGACTAGAGACTAGAAACTGTGAGGCGAGTGCGAGTGAGTGCTTTTCAGCATTGGCTGCGATCGCATTATTTCCAGAGCCCGCAATCAGTCTTCAGTGAGCGTGCGTCGGCATTGGCAGCAAGTTGGCTAAAAGCGGATCCTCCTTAGTGACCACCACCACCACCACCGCTACCACCCCCGATCTCTCTTTTGTGCCCCCGACGATTTTGGTTAGTTTGCACTTCGCCTTAACATCGTGCTTCACAACAATACCAAATTTCGATCAAGTGCAATGTGAAACGCCCAGCGTTGTTGTGAAAAAATCATAATAATACTGTAATAATAATTATAATCGCGGTAATTGCAAATCAATTGCCAAACAATCATTCAAGCGGAAGTGACGAAAGAATTCTGAGTTGTTAGAAAAGTGTAATACGAAACTGAGTTTACCTTTGTTCTGTTTTTATGTTTTTTTGGTTTGCTTTGCGGAAAAACCATTGGAAAAGCTGTTGACTTAGCTCTTCGATTTTCACTTAAATGTTTGTTTTCATAGCTTTTCCAGTTTCCCTCGCTCTCAACAGCCACTCTCTTTGCGTGAGTTCGTGTGTGCCTGTGTTTTTTGAGTTGGATTAGTTTTTCGCTACACCGATTGAGTAAGTTATTCCATGCGGTTTTTCCAGCACTTGCTGGAAAATTCATGGACAACAAAACAAACAAAAAATCATTGCTATGATTTAAGAATTTAAGTCTGGAGTTAAAATCTCACATTAATATTTAATTTTATAGTCCCTGGGTTTGACGCGTGGCTAATTTCTGTCAGACACTTTTTTCATAATATATTATGTTTTTTTCTCTTTTGGCTGACATCGAATTTTATGCCGCAAACCGGTTTGCCAAACTTCTGGAAATACAAATAAATAAAACAATTGTTGAGTAGAATTTCTTAATGGGCATAAGGCATCACAACTTAAACGACAAAAATTTTAAAGTAACAAGCCAAGACAATGTTCTACAGCCACGTTCGTTTCTTGAATCTTTTGATTGAAGTACTCCTCGCAAGTTCATTTTTTGACTCTTTAGATTGCCATTCAACGGAATATCAATTATTAAAATTACGCACCGAAAAAAGGTTCAATCAGTGCGCTTTGTTTCCATTTATTTTGTGGCACTTTCAATGTTAAGGTCTACACAGCCATTTAATGCTAATGCCCAGCACAAGTGCGATTTGTTCGCCGCTTGTTTGCTCTCTCTATTTTTATGGCACAATGAATCGAATTCCCCTGTATGTTCATGCCTAGCATAAACAAACCAGAATTATTGTTACACATTTGGTTGCCAAGGCGGAAATAAAATAAAGCAAAAATACGTTCAAATCAAATCGAATCGATTTGAATGGAATAAAATCATAACAGCACATGAAGAGAAATCAATGGCGCGAACACCGAGATGAGAGAGATCTGTTCGTCGTAAAATAGAAAGTGTCCAAAATGGATCTTTAGTCATAAACAAAACCCAAAAATTCGTCACAGTTAGAGCATACCCTCACTCGCAAACCGAGTCACTAAGCTAACATAGTCATGTTTTCATAATTTGTTCATTAGGGCTCGGTTTTTTTATTTTTTTGGGGCCTAGGGCTCGGAATACGTTGTTTGCCATTTTGAGGCTGCAAAAGAAATTTCCAAATATTTAATATGCAGAAAAGCTTGTATATACTCCGCAACGCACACAGATACTCACCCATTCGGGGGTAACTTAAAACCCAGCTGGGTTTTAGTCATTTGTCTAAACAAAAATAACGAACAAAGCAAAACGCAGACGTAGCTAAATTATGCAAATCTTAGGGCACATACGGCCATAGCTTCATCTGCCAACATCTGTATATATTGTTTATTTATATATGCTATAGTCCATGTGCTTCTCCAGTAAAAATGCAAAATAGGAGGTCCCAACACCTAAACAATAGAGACTCTCTTTAAGCGCTTCATTGCATTCTTCTTTGCGGCTATATTCAATTGCGATAATTGAAATTGAATTAAAAGGCTTCTCCAATGAGGGAACAAAACAAGCACCTGTCAAAAAATTCCAACCATATATGTAGGTAACTAAATAACCAAATATAGTTAAAATGAATAAACATATTACTTTTTCAAATATCTACCATTTTAACCATATTTGTAAATAAGTAATAGGTCATATATATTTAAATAAAAAGCCATATTACCCTTTTAACTATGTATCTGCCTTCAAAACTTTTATATTTTGTTGTCAAGCTGTCATTTTCAATCACTAAAAAGTCTTTACATATTGTTTAAAATGATTTAGATCTGAAACAAATCAAGGTCTTTGTCCCAAATTTATATAACTCAACAAAAATGTCAAGTTCAACGATCTTTTAGCCCTCCCAAAAACCATCAATAACTCATGCTGTCAATCCCAAGAACCCGAAGATAAAAACCTGTTGGCTCAAGCTAGCGAAGAACTTTACAAAGCCAAACAATGGTATTACAAATAAGAGATGAAAATATGACAAAAATGTTGCTGGGTGAGGGCAAAATGGCGATGAATCTCTAAATCTCCGAGCTCGAGGAAATTAAATGCAAATCATTTGGATGAGGGCCAGGCCAAGAGCAAACCAAGAAACCAGTTAACTGAACTGCGATAAATTCAATGTTGATCGAACTGGCGGCATTCTGTCTCAGATCCGGAGAACATAATTTACATAATTCTGGATAAGGCCAAATTGCGGAATTTTTTTCGAAAGCGAATTGCCTTCCGAACATGTGTTGAGTTGGGGAAAAGTTAGCGATCTGTTGGTTGCTCAATTACAAGCGAATCAATTAGCGCCTGGGTGTTAGCACCCGAAAAACACAGAAATCTCGTGAAATAACAATTTTTTAAGGTGGAGAAATTTTTTGAATTCATCTGCATACGAAGACAACGCAGCACGACTCTAGAGACTCTTTAGAGATCAACAGCGATCTGACCGTGACCGTGCATTTTCATTGAGCTGAGCTTGGTCCGACCCGACCAAACTCCAAATATATTTGGTGTTGGTGGTTGGTGGTTGGTGGTTGGTGTTTGATGGGCCTATAGATATAGGCCTCCTCCTCCTTTTTAGACAACTCCACTCTTGAGATCTCCGGCTGGGCGGCCTTGACACAAATTCGGAATCACACGAAAATGTTCGAAATTAATCTCTCCTCCAACAAATTGTTACGCATTTCGTTAATTATGTTTTCAATTTGTACACTGGTTGCTTGGGCAACGTGCCGTGTTCAGTGTTCAGTGTGATAGATCTAACTACATCGGTTATAATACCTTGGTTTGATTTCTTTTTTTCGAGGCTTTTCGCTTTTCGGTTGCCTTTTTTTTTTGGATATACACGTCATTTGCCATTAATTAGTCGAGCTATTGATGGCTTCGGATGGAGCGAACAAAAGGCGGCTTTGTGAATGGGTTTTGCAGTTCGGCGGGAAAGTACAGTTAACAGTGTTGGGCAACGGCCATGAGTTTGATTGTGGAAGTCGACTTGTGGCAAGTCGAAAGTTTTTAGAGGTATTAATTAACGTGAGCTTAGCCACTCCAATCCATTCGGTGATTTTAGTAAACGGTTTATTGGGTTTGAGTGTGGGAAAGTTTAAAACCGAACCCCGAATTCTTAAGTTGGATTAGCTTGCAGTGCTGGTCAACGTTTATATTTTAGCTTATATGTGTTAGGGCGGCATTGTTAATATGATCTATAAAAAGTTTAAAGCAATTTTAATAATTTGTGTAGTAAGTGGATTATTGCAATATTTATTGCAATTTTAATAAGAGAGTAATACGTTTCGTTATAAATGTTACGGAACTTTGGGAGTCCCATTGCATTTTTCTTACCGTTTATCACAAGTTATAAGCACGTTTAATTGACCCGTTTCTTTTTATTGTTGAAGCTTAGAGCGCTAGTTTTAATTTGCCATTACATACTAGAAATAATTTTTAATTCATAGGGATTTAGATTGCTTATCTACTTCATTAAGTTTACGGCGTAACATTAATTGGTTTACAGACTTAATGTTGGTGTAAACAATTTCAAATAGGAACCCCAAGTTATAAAATTGATTTTCATGCGTCAATAGTTCTAAATGTAATTATAATAGCCCAGAACCCCTAAAGGAGCTCAGCCAAATGTATTCACATTTTAAAATTAAACGGGCGTTTTACAATGTTTTTCAAATCTGCACTAGTTGGTGTTGCCGCTGGAGTAGTTTCGGCAGGTCTCGGCGAGGGATTTACGAAGTGCCGCCATGTAAACACTGGGTCCGGCGATGGTGGGCGGCATGTCGAACTGCCCGGAGTAATTACAAACGGGCGTAGAGGGTCGCGACACCGGAGTACGGCTCTTTACGACCATCCGGAATCTTGGGGGCTCCACGGATCGACGATCCTCCTTGCGCTTGGGCTTCTTTTCGTCCTCCTTCTTTTTTGGCACCACTTGGGGTTTTTGCTGTGGTTGCGCACTGGTCTGTGGCACATCCTGATGCCAGGGTGTGGCCTGTTTGCGGGCAAACTTGTGGAATTGCTTCTCGATGCCATTGGGTCGTCGTTTGTGCAGCAGCACTGCGGTTTTGGCTTTGAGCCGGTAAACCGGTGGCACTATCTGATGGTAGCCGCGTCGCTGACCATCTCGAGGATAAGCGGGCGGATGGGACACCACCTTCTTGCGTCGCAGATGGGGCTTCACCTCCTCCGTGGTCTCCGCATCTCGGGAGCTGGGACAGGTGTGCCAAGAGTGCCAGTACTCAGCCTCGTTCGCCGCCTCGCGCTTTCTCAGCCACTCGGCAGTGGGACGATTGGAATCGTAGACCATTGTTTCGCCCTCAGACGCATCCTCAGCACTTCCCGGATTGCGTTTCGCCGTTTCCCGTTGCTGCTTCTCCTCAAAATACTTTTCCCGTCGCAGTTCCGGCCGATAGGTGATGCCCGAGTTATTCGTTTCCCTCCTTGATGCCGGGCGGCTTTGCCATTTGCGTCGATTCTGCTCGATGATTTGCTCCTGCCTTTTTTGGTGTTCGACGGGATCCTGCTGAATAGCACGGCGCCGCATTGTTTCCGGCTCCTGTTGATTGCGCGAAAAATGATTTTGAATCCTTTTCTGCGCCTCCGTACGCCGCTCCTCGCGCTCCATTATGTACTGGTCCTGGGCATCCCTGAATTTGTTCTTTGCCATGTACAGGCGATCGTTGCAGTGCGACTCGTAGCCCAACTCATCCAGACGCTCGGGAAAATCAGCAGAACTTTCTTCGCGCCAAGGCGACTCGCGGGGAAGCTCAGCCATGCTCATATCATTTCTAAAACCTTCGATTTGGGCCTGGGTCTTGTCATCGAAGGTGTATCGGTCGGCAAATCTTCGCTTTTGGCCGGAAGCTGCCGGTAATCGCCGCAAACCGGAAGCCTCATTGCTCCTAGCTTTGTGGCCAACAAAACGGCAACAGCGATGCAGGCTCATTCGAGCCACCCTAAAAGTGGTATTCATCTTGCTAAAAATTATACTTTCAAAAACTTATAATTTTGATGCGCGTGTGTGTGTGTCTGAGTCTGATGGGAAACGCCGAACTGAATTTTTGAATTTTCAATTTTGAAGGCTAACAATTTGTAACTCCAAAAAGGGGATTTACCAAAATTTTGTGAACTGAATGCTTTGCAAACTGGGAAAATAATGTAAGCGGTTACGACTTCTTCCCACAAAGTAAAAGGCAATGCTGTCCCAGTTGAACACTAAAATCAAAGAGGTTATCATGACCTACTGGACTCATATGAGTCTATAATTGGAAGTAGAATTTATATCTGCAAACCACATCCTCAAGAAATCTTTATCAATTACCATAATGTTTAAAAATTTAAACAAGATTTGTTTAAATTTGTTTACTTTTTTTCGCAGAAACCATAAATTGCACAAAATCACAGAAGGTATATTTCCAAGCCACATCCTCAGGAAGTTATAATCAAGCAAAAACTAAAATAAATGCAATTACCACAAAGCATACTTTTTGACAGAAAGCTGAGATTTCACAAATTGACTGCTAGTACACTTTGCATTAAGAATTTATCTTCCCACAAAAGCGCAATACCTTTAACTTAAGGTTCTTTAAGATTTAACACCGAAAACGGAAGGTTTAAAAATTCACTACTAGACTTCGTTAGACATTTAACTAATTGATTATCGCACCCCACTTCCATCTAATTTTGATTACAGATTTATGATTTAACAAAAAGGCAAAAGCAAAAAAATGCAAATGTAACAAATTTAAGGCCGATTTTTTTGGCAAAAACCAGAACCAGTACAAAGTAACTTTTAAGATTTGTCTTATTACAAAAGCGGCCAATCTTTGAAGTCAAGTTTCCTTTAGGCTTAACAATACCGAAAACTTGAAAAGTGTGGAAAGTTGAAATATTCAGCATTTAACCCATTGAGGTTACCCGCTTTTTGCATCGTGTGCACTCCACTTCCATCTAATTTTGATAACAGATTTATGATGCACTTCCGCCGCAAGCTCAACTTGACACACTGAGGAGTTTGGTCTGGTTTTTCGGCAATGCCCTCGATTGCCGGCTCTTTATAGTCGCTTTTAGTCGCGATCCAGTTGGATTGGACTAATGAACTTGAACCAACCGATGTCACGGAGCGTTTACTCATTGCTTTTCTCTTTTTATTTATTTATTTATTTATTTTTTTTTTTGTATTATTCAGCTTGCCCAACCGATTCTAACGCTCAGCAGCAAATTGGCGCCGCCGACGAATCTCGAGCCCTACACCATGGCTGTCATCACGGAACATGGCGGCACCACCTCGCCGCCGGAAAACAACAACAGCCTTGTGGGAAATGGAAAACTGCGGCTCAACGGTCACCAGTTGAGCACTTCGCTGACCATTCCGGAATTCTTCGCCCACAAAAACATCTTCGTCACCGGCGGCACAGGCTTTTTGGGCTCCGTCCTGATAGAGGCTCTATTGGACACACATCCCGACATTGGAACCATCTACGTTTTGGTGCGCGGCAAGCGCAAGTTCGATCCCAGCGAGCGGATTCGTCGACTGCTCCAGAAGCCGGTAAGTCTAGTTGCGTTTTCTCAGGTTTTTATTTTTTTAATTTTTGGTCAGCCGAAAAGGGGCAGCACCCGGGCACGCCCCCTGACACGAACCTGCCCCCGAGGCGCCGTCTACATGGGGTATCATTAAAGCCAATTACGAGTCTTTTTATGAAGCGTTAATTTGTCAAAAGTCGTAACCTCGAAGTCGACCTCTTCCGCTGCTTTTATTTTCTTTCCTTTCCTTTATTTTTAATTTCAAAAAAAAAGGTTATGCAAAAGACTTTAATGGTCTGCGTTTGCTAAGGGTTTTAAGAGTACCTATTTTAAAATTAATTAAATTCAAGAAGCCTTTTTAATACTTTTTAAAAATTGTTACATTATTACAATCGCCCAAATGACACTAAAAATTTTATTTTATATACAGACTTCGTTTTTAATAGTACATATTTAAACATTAATTAAGCCTTTTTAAGTCTTTTTAAAAGTTGTTACATTATTACAATCGGTCCAAAATGGCAGTAAAAATTATTAGAGTACCTTTTTAAAAATTAATTAAACTCAAAAAACCTTTTTAATACTATTTACTACCATTATTCTTGGTTTTGGAATACTTAACGATAACAATCTTTAACATTATACAAATATAAGCTTCGCAATTTTAAAATCGGTCAAACAAGACACAGTAAATTATAATTTTTAAACTGACTTGATACTTTGTTGAAACATTTTTGCATACTCATTTGTAGCAAACTCAAATTTTGGTACCAACAAAGCCAGTCTCCCCATTATGTTGGTCTCTTTTACTTTATTTTCTTACGAGACTCTTCACATATTGTTAATTATATTTTTAAACGCATTTTTAATGGCGTAACAAAAAGCGGCTAACAGCAAATGTTGTTTGCTTTAGAAATTGCTTACTTACGAGTACGAGTATTTCCCAAATGGTAAAAAAAAAACCGAAGAAAACACTCAGCTCTAACAATCATAATTTGCCGGGCGTAATGTGGGCGTGGATAGTTACCAACCCGACCTCCAGAAAGCAATGAAATTAATTAGCAACATCCGTGTATACAGGGAGAAAAAATTTTGGTTTAGGCCTGTAAATGTATAGATAATTAAAACTACCGAATAACAATTTAATTGTCTGTAATTGAGAGTCGTAAAATCAATGATAGCCTGTTGATAGTTAATAATTGTAAGGACTTTTTTAAATTTATAGCTATTTTGTTACCCTTATTTATTTTATATATATTCTTTTTTGTTTTAAATCTACCTAATAGCATTTTAATTATCTGTAATTGAGAGTCGAAAATCAATGGTTACCTTTTGATAGTAAATAATTGTACAGACTTTTTTATGTATTGTTATTATAATTATTATTATTACACATCGCAATATATACAATAACAGTTTATAACAATTTTTATTGTCTGTAATTAAGAGTCATAAAATCAATTAACACCGCAAACGATATCGAAAACGATACTCATCCAAAACTAACTCTTAAATTGACCAAAAAACTAATCATTTGTCGTTCAGTTTGTGGCAGAAAACAAATTCCGTTTTTGGCAATTATGAAACCTTTAAATGGTTATTCGTTTTAAATAAGTTTTTGCTCCGATATACAATAAGATTTGCAAACTATCTTTTGATTCTCTTATTCAGACCTTTCCAAATTTATAGTTATTTTATTACCATAATTTATTGTATAAATATGTTTTTTATTGTGTTTAATAGATTTTCGAGAAGTACTCGGAGAAGACGCTGGCCAAGGTGGTGCCAGTGGTGGGGGAACTCAGCGAGCCGAACTTTGGCTTTGGGCCCGAGCTGCTGCAGGAGCTGATCGAGCAGGTCAACGTGATCTACCACAGTGCCGCCACCATCAAGTTCAGCTCCCCGCTGCGCACCGCCATTCGCACCAATCTCACGGGAACGATGCGCACCATTGAGCTGGCCAAGCAACTGAAGCATCTGGCCGCCTACATCTATTGCTCCACGGCCTTCTGCAATAGTAACAATCGCGGTCTGATTGCCGAGGAGGTGTACAAGTCACAGTTCGATCCGTACGAGATGATGAAGATGGCCGAGGACGATGCCGCCTGGGAGGATTTCACCGATCAGAAGTGCAAGGGCTACATTCGGGATCATCCCAACACGTATACGTTTACCAAGAATCTCTCCGAAAATCTGCTGATGGCCGAAATGTCTGGACTGCCAGCAGCCATAGTCAGGCCATCAATTGGTACGTTAAGCCTGTTGAAATGTTGACAAAAATTATTTAAATTATTGAACAATTCTACAGTTTATGGCACCCTGGAGCACCCGATGAAGGGCTGGGTGGGCAACGCGAACTCTGGTCACCTCGGCTTCTTAGCCGGCTTTGTTAAGGGAATTTTCCGGACAATGTGCGGAAGTGCTAATGCTGTGATCGACATCATACCATGCGACTATGTGATCAACTCGTCACTGGTCATGGGCTGGTATGTGGGCACCCGGAAGCTGGAGCAGCCGGAAATCATACACTGCACCTCGGGGGAGGTGAACCCCCTGAACCTGGCCGAATTTTGCACGATCATCAACGACAGCGTGGAGCGGCATCCGCCCAACAGTTTCGTCTGGAAGCCGGCGACGAAGTTGCGCAATGGCTGGCGTTACAATCTGTTCTTCTATCTATTCCATCTGCTGCCAGCGATGGTCTTTATCATTCCAGAGAAGCTATTCGGCATCGGAATGCCGCAGCACACGTAAGTATTACTTTTAAGAAACATAGTTCTCAGATAAATCTTTATTCGCGAACAGAAATGGAATATAAAGCTTTAACATTTAATTCCCCTTCTCTGGATTACTACTTGATTATAACCAGAAATGGAATACAAAGCTTTAATATTTAGAAATTTTGAGGATATGTGCTGATCCTAAGATTTAGGGGTAAATACAAAATTAAGACTTAAACTAATTGGCAATTATAATGACTCTCGAAGCATCCGAATTCTACAAAAACCTTTAAATAGCTTTAATTTTTAAAGTTCTTTTTGATAAATCTTTATTTAAAACCAGAAAAGAAATATTTCGAATTTTTAGGATTAAGGGGTGAACAAAATTCAAGCATAAACTAATTGGGAATTATAAGTGTACTTGAGCAATTCAATTTTATAATACCACCAATTAACTTATTTTTGTAGAGCCTACGAGTATATGCGCGTTTTCCAAAAGGGAACCAAGGCCTTCGACTACTTCCTGGACAAGGATTTCCGCTACTCCCTGAAGAATGCACTGCGTATCTCAGCTTTAATACCTGAGAGCGATCGAAGGCGGTACAATTTTGATGCCAGTCAGTGCGATTGGTCGGAGTTTATTGATCGCTGTCTGATTGGCATCCGCCGTTTCTACTTCAAGGAGTCGGCAGTGACCACAGAATGGCATCGAAACTACTGGAAGGTGTAAGTACAAGGACCTCGATATATGCAAACAATTTCTGACCTTGTGACCTTCTCTTCAGCTTCAATTTCCTGTACTATGCGGGCTATGTTGTCATCTTTGCCGTCCTCTACTTCGCCCTCACTCTAACTTTGGGCCTGCAGATCGGTCTTACGCTGGCGGTCCTGATCTGGGGATTCCTCGTATGGTTGTAGCCCGCTTTCTGAATCGCCAACCGCTGGAGTGTGCAATATTCAACCTTCAATTCCGACCCTCCTGCACATGGTTGTTCGTTTCCATCCGTAGTTTGTTCTTAGTAGGGTATCATGTATTTTACTTTTAAGTCCTTTCTACACAAGCCAAGTACAAGTCAGAAATGTGTATCATAAAAACTTAACAATCGAAGCAACACTAGACACCAATCTATTCACACAGCAATGCAAAAGTAGCCCAAAACTTAGTCACATTAACTAAACAATAAATGTAAATCTAATGAACAATTGTAGATTGTTGTAATAATCAACCGGTTTATAGTCAAATAGTCGAAGAATGCGAGAAACTAAAATTTAAATGATTAAATATGTAACTATTATTCAAATAAATATGATTTTAATATTAAGAAAAAGTTAAGAATGATTTTTTTTGGAGGCATTTGGATTTTGGGGGAAGATATGATTAGTGTGCAAATAGCATAAATTTATTTCAATTTATCCAGAATTCTTCTAACCTGGCAATATACATATGTTTCGACGTCATTAATAGTTTTACAGAAATATTTAATAATTTCAACCGAATTTCTTTAAAGTTTAGTCGAACCTAAAGAGGTTTGACTGTACATAGTTAACTACATTACCCCGACATCTGGGGCTACTTTCGATTGCAAATACAAAACGTTTGTGTCCTTTCTTAACATAAAATTTCAGATTTTACATTTAGACAGAAAATATATAAACCCATTTTATTTTGGGTTGGTTTTAAATCTGTCAATTTACATGGTGTAGTTTTACACAGCGAGTTCCAAAATTTAACGCCAGGAGCGCCAGCAATTCAAAAATTAGCCCCCAACCCCGCAAACATACAAAAAGTATATATTAAGAAAAAAGATGTATCTATAGAGAGAGACTTGCTCTCTATCTTCCGAACTCGAGAGA